AGATGTGTGATGTGGTCATGATTTGAAGCTGGTTTGCATTACTTTTTTAATAATTCAACAGAGCAGAGTTAGTTATTCTTCTTATTCTATGGATACCACACTGAGGAGGCGATCACACCGAACGCAATTTTTGCTTTGTGAGGTGCATCTTTTGAATGGTTTTCTAATAATCGCGAGTGTTTTGCTCACTGCTTATGTGCCCTGTGCGCCTTGCGTTTTAAATGCCTGCTGTGCCTCGAGTTTTTGCCATTGCGCTCTGTGTACTCAGTTAAAAAAAGTCAATTCTGAGTAAAAAAAAAAAAACATGTTACTTCAGTCGCATCTTTTTCATTCTCCAATCGAATGAAAGCAGAGGCGGGGTTTCCGTTGAGGTGACAGCAGTGTTTGTGTTGTCAAGATGACTATGGAGACTTTCAAAAATGGAGGAGATACTAGCGGTCGCTGTGGAACGTAAAAGCATGTTTGGTTTGATTGGGCCTTAAGGCTGCATGTCCAGTGTTTTTTTTTTCAAGCTGAGCATTTATTTTCTGTTTTATGAGGCATTTCTGAGTGCCTGTAGTGGCGTTTTACAAGCAATAACTATGTTTACATGGACAACAATAAATCGATTTTAATGCGATTAAGACAATACTCTGATTAGAATCTACCATGTAAAGAGCAATTTTTGGATATGTCATAATCAAACTAAATAGAAATCGAATTAAGACATGTCGAGTATGCCAATTTTAGTCGCATTATTGTAGTACATACATGTAAACACCTTAATCAAACTATTGTAGTCATGTAGGCATTTTCACCGCTTTTTGCGACAGGATAGTCTACACAGAGACACACACACACACACAGTCAGTGCAGATCACAGACACCTGCATCGTGAAATGCCAAGGTTTTTTTTTTATTTAAAAAAAATTTAGCATGCGGTATGAACTTCCATTAAAACAACACTCTTCTAGCAGTTCATAGTTGTTTCCAATATCTATGCATGCATGCAATGTTCGTGAATGAAAGTGAAAGTGCCAAACTCCAATTAAGTCGACAAATTAAAAATTAATCACCCGAAATTACATGAAACTCCGGAGGAAATGCAGATAGCACGGTGAACAATGACTTATGTGCTGTAACATGTAAAACCTGATCATGAAAGTAACACTCAAAAGGCAACTCATGTAAACACCTTAGTCTTATTATTCTCTTAATTAAAGCAAATAATTCGATTACTGATGTCCTTTTTTTTTTAGCCACTGCAAGTTGAAAAATGCAGCACTTATCAGTGTCACTTTTGAGCTAGTCATCCAATCACAGTTAAAAAGGGGCGGAAAAATACCAATATCACTGTGTATTATACAAATCATGTGCCCCAAAATGCTGTGCTGCTGTGTTTCTACAACAGTGCTCGCTTTTTGGCAGCGCAAAACCCCTTCAGTGGACACACAGCCTTAAACAAATTTTTCAGATTGTTTTTGTCCTCAAACAGCACCTGTGCTTGCATTTCTGTTGCGCAAAACCGCTTTGGTGGATATCCGTTCATAAAAGACTTTTTTTTTTTCTTATTTGTGTTGGTCTAGTTTATTAGGGCTTATTTGCACCAAACATCTTTTGGTCATTCTAATTGTCATTCAATAGAAACACACACTTTATGGATGTGCATGAAGGCTGTGAATTAATTAAAACCAATTAATGATTTGAAACTGTTAGGGGTCATCACAATAAATGTGTCTTTGTGTCTAAAAAAGTTACACGCAGCACTCATGAATGTTTTTTTTATAGGTGTAGCTTCTGCCATGTTGCCATCAAGTAAAACAGTTGTCATGCCAACTTGCTACCGAAAACAAAAGCTTGCAATACTTGCTCCATCTACAAGTTCTTCTACTTGGTCCACTGTTTGGAACTGACATCGATGAGTTGTAATTACGTTAACACAGCATTAAAAAAAAAAAACACTGCAAAATACATAAATGTAAAGCTCACAAACATCCATCAAGCACATGGTTTCTGTTTCATTCCACATATATATTTCCAACACAATCTCACAGCAAATCTGTAACTTTTTTAATTCAGTGACCAATTCGTATAAAATTGTAATGCCCCCGTTCCTAAATTTAAGTATGATTTGCTTCTCCCCAATGATGGTTGGGTTTAGGGGCATGCCTGCTTTTTAAAAAATCATTTGTTTTCATATATTTAAATGACGTATAATTTCGAACAATACTTAAAATTGTAACATCTCCTCATGAAATCAGGATTTTCAGATTTATTGGTATTCTTTAAGCCATCCTAAATATCTTTTATAAGCGTAAAGTATATTTGAAAAGTCTAAATGCAAAAACCAAAAGCGTCATTTAAAATATTCTTCTAAAATACACATATTTCTTACGTTTGTGTTCATTTTTTTCTTCTTTTTTTCTCACTTTAAACGCAATGGAAATAATTTGATGATTTGAATGATTTTCCATAAAAAATAAATTAATAATCCTACATAGAGGAGCCATAGAAAAATGCT